TAAAAATATAATTAAAATTGATAAAAATTTATATTTTATAATTTGATTAATAATTATTAAAATTTAAAATTTTAATAAATAACGATTTAATTATAATTATAATCAAAATCAACCATACCACCTCTATAACCCCTGATTGGATGTTCGACACCCCCAGTTCCTGTTCAAGATTTGTAGAAAGTTACTTTTATTTTTTATAAAAAAAATTACGCTCGAAAAAAATTTGCAGTTGTGCGTCTTTCTTTTCTCAAACATTTTTCTCTGTAAATATCATAGCCCCGCTTTCAAAATGCTGATGGAATTGCCTAGGGGTGGGCATCGGTTCGGTTCGGTTGAAACCGAACCTAAATTGATGGTTTTTATCAGTTGATTATTTTGTAAAATAACAACCGATAACCGAACCAATAATATTTCGGTTATTCAATTTTGTAACCGCATTAATTGGTTCGGTTGGTATCGATCTCGGTTTTTTTACCAATTCTAGCCTTAGACTTTATCGGGTTTGGGCCTTCCGTTTTTGTGGCCCAAATTTCCTACAATGTTTGATGATCCATTTTCTTCAATTTTTTGATCCAAATAAATATCCAAAGCCATCACATTTCTCAAGTGCCAAATCCAAAAAAGAATCAAAAGTCGTTCAAGCATATCCCAATTTCTGCAATCTCAAGGTTGTCAACACCAATGCAAAAGTAAAGAAATCCCATTTTAAATTCTAATCCAGCCTTTTCCATAAAAAAAAAAAAAATTCTAAGCACAACTGTAGAAATCAAAAGACAAGATTTTGACCGTTTTGGATACTGCATTCGGATAAGGTCTGACCATCTTTGAGTTACTTGCCGGCGACGATGAGACGCTATTGATCCGGCAAGATCCTATGGTTACATCTTCTACCTTTTTGGGATGAAGGAGATTGGGCTTTCAAGTTATAAAACTTGTAGAAAGATGGAGATTAAAAAGAGAAATATAGAGAAAGAGTGAGCTATAGAGCTTGTGAGATTAATAAAAGAGAAGAACGAGAATTGGAGAAGAAATAGAAGCATAGAACAGAAAGTGAAAAGCGACTAAAGAACAAGAAATAAAAAAAAGAAGATTAAAGATTGGATTTGACGGAGATGAAATTTTTTTTTATCTATGGAAGGCAGGTGGCAGATCTGGATCTGGGCGAGGAGGGAAAGAAAATTTTATTGAAAGGAAGAGGGTTAGGGTTAGGTTTAAGAGAAGGGAGTGAAAATATATTTATATATATTTCTTATTCGGTTTTATTATTTGGTTGCTCAATTTTTAGATTAGCAACCGAACATCGAACCGTTTAAGATCGGTCCAAGCCCAAAACCAAACATTTGAGCCCGAAGCCGTTAAGCACGAACCGAACACCATTTTTTCGGGTCGGTTGTCGGTTGCCCGATCGGTTGCCCGATCGGTTGCGGGTTTTGTGCCCACCCCTAGAATTGCCTGCCTTTCAAGTTTCAATCTCATGCAGGCAAGGCTGACCTGGAATGAACCTTCTGCAAAAGCAGGACAAATAATTCAGAAAAATAACTATTGTCCCATAGAAACAAAAAAAGTCAGTACGTGACTGTGTGAAGAGCGATGTAAAGTCTGACCGAATGGGAAAGGTACAATTATTACCTATAGCTCAGCAACCATGTGAAATGTGCCCTCGAAATCTACAAACATAAAAAATATAAGGCAAAACCATAAGTTAAGCCCCTGAACTAACCCCAGAATCGTTATTAAACCCCTAGACTTTAATTGATGCAGTTAAGCCCTTGAACTCTGGGATCAAAGCAATTAAGCCCTTCTTCTTACACCAACTTAACTGCCGTTGAGGAGACTCCCCGCTTGGCTGCTTGGATGGCAAAACATTGCCATGTCATGCTTACATGGCAAGGGATTTAACATTTGGCTTGGATTTTTGATTTATTTGATAATTTAATTTTTTTTATTTAAATAAAATAAAATCATAAATTTGGGTGAAAATATTATTTATATAAAATCTTAAATTTAAATTTAATAAATTA